CAAGCTCCCCGATGCCCTTAAACCTCGGGTCTGACACCGCCTGGTACCTACACGTTTCCTTGGTGTAGGCAGCTCCGGTTGCGGTACAGTTGGCAAAACCATGCTCCAGGCTCTGCTGAAATCAGCAGTGGTTTGTTTAGTTTCCTGAGTAAAATAATACTTCTTTTGGCCTTATCTGGATTGAAAAGACGATTCAAAGGTTATAAATAGCAGTGGCAGCATATGCTAAGAAGCTGCGTTTCAGAAGTAAATATCCTCATCGTTTCAATGCACATTTCCCCTTGTCGTCTCTCCTGCCTCCTCCTGTCTGGCCGAAAGCATTGCCAGGTGACTTGCAAACCCTGCACCCCTTAAGACCTTCATTCTTCTTTACGTCTTTAAGCAGTCAGTAACTAATATCTGCATGATGGCTTTGCCTGCCTAATTATCTCCTTTGCTCAAAATAAGAGTCTTCCTAAATAACTTCTGTGGCGTTGCTTGCAGCAGGCGTCACGAGCAGCCATGCACCAGGACAGACCTCTCAGCTGTAGTTTGGAGAAGTTGTTTTTATGCTGCTGCAGCTTGGAAGCTCACGAGCCTGCTCCTCCCATGAATAAAGCTGGGCATGCTATAAAATTGGCTGGGTTTGTACATATATAAACAGCCCTGGAGCACTGGCAGGAAGAGTACATGGGCAGCTCTTCCAGAAATGCCAGCTCCCACTGCAACCCCCTCCTCTCAGGCTGCCTCCCCATCTGAAAACCCAGAGCCAAACACATACAGAGAAAGGAGGAAATTCCAGCTCTGGCTGTAGTCTTGCTCCGAAGCCAAGCAGCGGCTCGGGGGAACAGAGCATTTCTTCAAGGGCTAGAAACTTGCTTGCACGTTACAGAAGAAGGATGGCCACTCCATCCAGTGCTGTCCCCCAGTGAGAGCAGCCACGGCAGCGGTCCCTCAGAGGGGCCACATTTCTACCTCTGTGCTGCTTGCGCAGAGATTTCAGAGACCTTTAAAAATCTGTCAGGTACAAATTCATGCTGGTGCTGTGGAGGGGAAAGTGCAGCCACTCGAGGGGCAGCAATTTGCTTGGAATCGGGGAAGATGGGAGGCAAGACCCAGCTCCTTGCAGGTGGCACATTGCCATCTAGCTGGCATTTGCTTATTTTTCTTGTGAATCAAGTTCCCCTGGCAGTGTGCTGCCCGACTGGGTGGGAAGCATCCCTGGTGGCGGGGGACCCCAGGGTCCAGGGCACTGCTGGTGTCACCAGGCACCAGCCAGGGGAACCAAAGATGAGGTGAGAGCCGGGTGTGCCGAGGCAGTAGGAGCGAATCCCCTCCCTTCCCATCCCCAGATCCCTGCTGGTCCTCTCAGCTCACAGCAGATGCTAGTGCTGGTCCAAGGGCACCAAACCACTCTTCTGCAGGGTTTGTACCAAACACACGTTTCCCCATCTCTCCTGCCTCATTCCACCTCCTCAGCAGCTCTGTCAGGGACAAACCCACTGTGGGAAGAGCCCTGCTCTGTACAGCTTGGGCTCTGGTCCTGGAGTGTCCCTGCAGAGTGGGGACAGAGGAGGCATAGGGCAGTGACAGGTCCCTCTCCCAAGGGCCTCCCAAGGGCCCTGGGATGGCAGAGGGTGCCAACTAAGGCCCTGCAAATCCTCACAGCAGCGCTGCTGGCAGGTCTGATGGGAAGGGCTGGCTCCATGCAATTCCCAGTGCTCCCAGAGCCAGCCCCAACATCTCCGCTCATTATCTGCTCTGTCAGCTCCCTGGCCCTGCTTGCTCCCTGCCACTTGCTGCATTCAACGGGCTGCTTACGGCTGCCCTGTGGGGACCATGCTTGTTTTCCTCAGCACCTCTACAGCTCCTGAGTGCTGTGCTCCCCAGCTCCGCAGGGCTGCAGTGTGGTGCCCCAAACCACTGGCCTCAACCCCACATGCCCCAGAGCCATCAACCCGAGCCTCTGCATCAGCCTCCCAGTGACCGGTGCCATCTGCCCGTGGCAGTGGGTCTCCTCCCACCCCATCGCACCTCGGCCAGGTCCCTGCCCATCTCTGGAGGGATCCCACCTGCCTCCTGCAGCCCTGGGATTCTTGGTTTTCCAAAGCACCGAACACATGATTGCACACACACACACACACGTCCCTGCTCCCTGTGGATGCCAAACCACTGCGTCAGGCCACCCTGCTTGGATGGGAGCAGACATTGATGCTTCTCCCAGGGCTGCCCTGCTCTGGGGCTGCCCACAGCCCAGGGAGAGGCCGTCTGGAGGAGGGAAGCTCCTGCCGGTTCCGCAGGCACCTCCCAGGATTGCTGGTGGGGTCAGGAACACCACTCGGCAAAGGATTAAGAAATGCGGTGCAGGGAGCCAGCCCAGGCGAGCTGCAGCAGGGTGCAGGCAGGACCTACCCTGCACCGCTCCCTGCAGCCCTGCCAGGTCAGGCAGGGAGGCTGGCAGCTCCGGTCCAGCCCCTGCCCGATGCCACCCTGCAGTGCTGCGGTGACTGAGCAATACGGCCCCGTCACCCATCAGGCTGGTGCTGCTGGAAACCCAGAAACACCAGGCTGGAGAAGTAACCCCCGGCAGGAACGAGTGTAGGGGAAACCCAGACAAATGCTGCATTTCTCCAGGCAGGGGCAGCTCTACTCCTCCCACCCGGCCAGCCAGCACCATCGCTTCAGTGTTGGAGGAGGGAAACCTGCAGGCAGGTGGGACAAATGGGAAGGAGCCATCCTCTCCTCCTCCTCCTCCTGATGGATCCTGCCATGGCAAAACCCTCTCCCTGCACCTCTCTGGGGGCTGTGCTGGGAGTATCTCTGGGGAGCGAGGCAAGACACATCCCTGCCCAGCAAGCCCTCGCCTCGTGGGCGCTGCACTCAGGCTCTGACACCACCGTGCCCAGAGACCTTGGTCAACTCCCCGAAGCCTGTGTGGCACCAGAGGGAACTGACACTACCTAACCCCCAACACTGTTCAGCCATACAGGCAGAGACAGGTTCCCCAGGGGAAATTTAGTGCAGGTGACTAATGCAGCAGCCCTGAATCACCCGCCAGGGATGTGGGGGAGCTGAAAGACACTCCCCAGCATAGCCGATGGCTCAAGTCAGGCTGCACGAATCCCCTCCCAGCTCCCCGCCTGGGAAATGGGGCCAGCAAGGCCCTGTCTGGCTTTGCAACTTGGTTCATAAACATGGAGGAGTGACAGTCTCATCCTGCACATTTATGCCAAGCAGTGCCCCGAGAGCGGCTGGGATCATCCCGTGCTGTCCCCAGAGATGTGACATCAGCAGTGCCACCTCCTCGCTCTGCTCCTAGCACTGCTGTGCCTTTGCCAGCGGAAAACCCACCACATCTGGCAAAACAGCCTCAGCAGTTTACCTGACACCTGTTACGCTGCAAGAAACACTCTTCCTAACACCAGCCAGGGCGAGACAAACACCCGCCAGCCCCCGGCACCGAGCCGAGCCACTTCCAGCATTGCCGGCGGGACTAAACGCAGAAGGCAGCGCCCTGGGCAATCTCCCCACAAGTCACCTGGTGAAAGCGCTGCGCCCCACAGCCCCAAGCACTTTGGCTCCCACACACACCTCTGGCCCTTAGGTCCAGTTGCTCCCATTTCTATTACCGGGATGAGCAAAGACGATCTAATAATCAGAGCAGCAAATAACCCAAATCCGGTTAAAGTCCCTGTTAACTGCCTGGCTGGGACAAACGCGGCTTAGCAGAGATGTTCTCCCTGGGAGCGCAGCGGCTCTCACCTCCTCCAAAGAGACCATGACCCCGACACCGGCATAGGGAGAGAGGAAGCATCAGTTTGGGGCTTGCACCCAGAGCCCCAGCCTCTCCCGGAGCCATGGCTGGTGGTCAGCAGGCAGAGGGGGGCACGGGAGCGGCTGTGCCGCCTTGCAGCAAGCACAGCCCTTTGGGGAGCTCTCCCTGGGGTCATGCTCTGGTGTCTGGCATAGCTGATAGCAGCCCAGGCCGGTCCAGCACCCAGCAACGAGGGAGCAATGCCAAGGCAGGGCTGTGACATTTTGCACAGGGAAAGCCACCGCCTGCCCGGTGCTGGGCCGTAAACAGCTCAGTGTCATGGGAGCTCAGCCTCCACCTTCCCCCAGGACGAGCACACAGCACCACTCAGCAGCACTGACTCCCTTCCTCGGCATCTCCCAGCTTCAAACTTTGTGCTCAGCCCCTCGCAGGATCTGGCCCCTAAAGGCTGGGCTGAATCAAAACCTTGGGTTTTAACCGACCTCAAGGAAAGCAATGCTATCCCAGCCACCGCGGCTGGCAGAGCCAGAGAGCAGCTGCTTTGCAGCCTGCAAGCTCCACCGAGCTGGGTAGGAAGGACGTTTTGGGTGGGGAAGGGTTAAACGTCACTGCAAACACCTGCATCTACCAGAACCAAAGCCTTCTGTTCAAAAGCCCCCCCTGGTCTCGTGCAGGGCTCTGTCTGCAGCTGGAGGGTGAGGAATGACACGCCGGAGTTTGCCGAGGGAGAGGACAGAGATTTCCCAGGCAGATGTCATTCCGAACAAATCTCCCCAATCTGGAGCTGGGCAATGCTGGAGCGTATCGCCAGCTAATCAGCAGGATGGCTGGAGCAGGCTGCACCACTGAGACGGATTAACCAAAGGGTCTGAGCCCAGCTGGCAGCTTTCGGAGGCAATGAACTGAGCAGGGACAAGGCAGAGAAGTGCATCAACCACAACGGCAAAGCACAGCAACTGGTGGCTCTTGGGAGACTTCCCTAGTTTGGGTTCAGTGGCCAGACTGGCTGCAGCAGGGACACTCCCAGGGCCTCCCTCCACCCAGGGGCAGCGCCGGAGCCGTGCTGTGACAGCCTTCCTGGCTAGAGCAGAGGGCTTGTCACTGCTGCAATGTAATCCCAGGGATGGACAGCGTGGCCAGCAGCTGGGAAGGGTGCACGGCTTGTGCAGCAAGATGGGGGACCCATCCTAAAACCCACCCTTGCCCTCAGCACCCGGCAAACTCCCGTGGAAACTTGGGAACTCACTGCAGTCGTCGGACTCGTAGCCCTCGGGGTCCACCACCTCCTCAGGTGCTTGGCACTTGGCCGGCTGCTCGGCGGGCGTTGTGCCATACGCCCCGAAAAGCTGGTCCACGTCCTCGTCCTCCTCGCGGGGGCCCTCGGCAGGGCTGACGGAGGGCTGGCTGACGGTGGAGCGCAGGGCGCTGCTGCGGCCGACGGCGGCGGGGAGCCCGCGGGGAAAGCGGGGGAAGTAGTCGGAGATCTGCTTGATGGGTTTGATGGGGCCGGGGCAGACGTCAATAGCCATGTGCTCCTGGATACTTATGGTCATTTTCTCTCCTTTTCGGAGTGTCATGCATGCGGCTGTCAGCTCCAAGCTCCCCCGGAGAAGCCCGGACTGCGCGCAAGGGAGCCGTGAAGTTTCTGCCAGGGGAAGCAGAGGCAGGCGAGGGGGGAGGCTCTGGCGGGCACCTTACGTGGTTCTCGCGCCCTGAGCTTCAGATGCCGCACGCATGCTGCTGCCGCCAGCTCTGGCTCTCACACAGTCCCTGATCCTGCCAGCGCTGCCTGTGAGTAAGTGAGCTAGACGGAGAGACGGATAAGAGGCAGGGGGTGGGCTCTCGGGTGATGTCACCAGCTAGCAACAAAGCGGTACCCAGCAGCGGAGAAATGAGGGCTGTGGCCGGCCCGCCGCCCCAGCCGCACGGCTGCCAGTGTGGGCAGCCAGCCCGCTGCCCCATCCCCAGCAAAGCCCCGCCATGCCCGGGGGGGAGCAAAGCAGAAGTTGGGTCGAAGCCCACCTCCCCGCACCCCATCTCCCTGCCAACGTGGGGTCAGTCCCCGCCAGACCTCTCCGGAGGGGGGAAGGTCACTGCGCCGGGTCAGGAGCCGCTGTCCTGTTGCGTCGCATCCCCAGCACGCTGCCGAGAGGGAAGCAGGGCTGCCCCAGCCCCTGGGGACCGTGGCAGCCCCCGTGCCCTCCCGGCACGCTGCAGGGCCGTGCCAGGGAGGTGCTCTGGCGCATACTGAGGAGGGGCGCGGGTGGCACGCAGCCTGCTCCCAGCTCCAGCCGCACCGCTGCTCGCAGGGGTAGGGGCAGGCCCGGTTTGGCACCCCGGCGCC